CGAGATACCGGACGCTCATATTATAAGGTAAGGTTATAAAACCACCTTTTAAGATCATTTTAGTGAAAGTTTCATGTTCCTATCTCATAGAATTTAAGAACAATGATGAATAAATCATTTTCGAGCAAAATTTAAATGGCCGGCCGAATATATTACCGCCGGAGAGACGGCCGCGGAATTTAAATGACCGCGCAAAAGGGTTAATAGTGCTTAATTCTGTATGTACTACCGTGTAAATTACCGATGATATATAGTCCTGATACTAAAAGCGTTGTTGAACACCCTGCAGGAAAAGAAGTGCAAGTAAATGAAGTATTGCATTTTCTCTTTCCATTATTCCATGCATATTATGTGAAACATTTTGTTAACAGTATAGAGCTCTTTCATTTGGTTAATAAAAAGAGCTACAGTGTAGGTGATTGCCTGCATTCATGAAAAGGTAATATAGATGTCAAGTCCATGATTTATTTAAACCGTCTTGTAGTGCATACACTCATTTATCTCCTTCTCTCCCTCGCACTACATGTTTCGGCATAATAATGCCATCTTCAGGTGCTTACTTATCCACGCCAAACTAGTTCATTGCATGCCTTGTTCTCATATTAAAATAACTAAAATATGTATCTATCATATACATTGTCAAACGTTAAAAATATTAAAATTGTTCAGGATACCACATCGCTACGTCGCACCTCACTACGCCAGTCACGNGATATATATAGAACGACAAAGAAAAACACACATGAATAACATCAATAAAGAAATATACAACCCAATATACCACGAATTAAACACTATCTACACAGAACAACATAACAACACCCCACCCCCTACCCCCACCACATCTACGCCCACAACATCATAACTCACTCAAAACGAAGACAGAACACACACACATACCCAGCAGGCCCAACAGTATAAGACACGCAGTCACAGGAGCAAGACACAACAAAAGCACAGTGAGTATTATTAAAAAAAAAATTATAATACCACAAGTAATAAATAAAATACGGAACGCGGTATTAATGAATAAAAAATTCACGTTACAGACACACACATGATAGTGAAGGAGTGCTCCAACAGAGGAGAATGGGCATGACTGGCGTAGTGAGGTGCGACGTAGTGATGTGGTATCCTGAACAATTTTAATATTTTTAACGTTTGACAATGTATATGATAGATACATATTTTAGTTATTTTAATATGAGAACAAGGCATGCAATGAACTAGTTTGGCGTGGATAAGTAAGCACCTGAAGATGGCATTATTATGCCGAAACATGTAGTGCGAGGGAGAGAAGGAGATAAATGAGTGTATGCACTACAAGACGGTTTAAATAAATCATGGACTTAAATCAGTGCAACAGGACGCTAAAATATAACATTAGATGTCAAGTGTTTTTTTTTTTTTTGGTTTTTATATCAGCATTAGAGTTAGACTGGTGTTAATTGTGTATTTTATGTTACACTATTTAGTATAGGTTGTGATACCAGCAGTCAGCAGGTGATTTTAACCAGGCAGTGATAGATAAACAAGACGATTGTTTACTGTTGTAGTACTTCAGACCTTGACATTAATGTGATGTGCATATACATTTGATGATAAATGTAACTTACATCTATGTCTGATGTACTGTTATATTTAGAAGTGCCTTGTAATGTTCATAGAACAAGAATTTGACTCCTTTGCTTCTAACATATGTTGATTATTGCACTTTGTCAAATAATTTTCATGTAATGTCAGGTTCCTTAAAAGTTATCGGATAAACTGTTCAGAAGATAATGCTGAATAATGGAGTACATGACTTGTCTGGCAGTCCTTGGCCATGAGAAAATACCATTTACTCTGTAGTCTCCTTAAATTTGTCAAGTAAATCTTTGAGCTGTCAGGGCCTGAAGGCTCAACAATACTACCACTGAAGTCCACAGTTGAATCAAATTCTGATGTTCCCCATCTGAGTTCATATACACCCCAGTTTTTCCACCGTAACTACCCTAAAAATATTAAGTAAGTCCTTATTATGTAATTTTCTTCATTTCCTGCTTAGTTTATTTTGATAACCTTCAATTTTATTGTTAGCTTGTTTATTTGGTGAGGAACCTTATATTTATTTAATAAAAATAATCATCTTCAGGCACTTTTATTGAAATCATCCAATATTAGCCTGTCCATGGACTTCCATGATGAACTTATTACAGAGTAAAGTAAAAAGCAGTGGGGATAAGCACTCTTATGATTAAACATATTGTAACATGTTGCGCGACTGAGAACCCCCCTCCCCCCTCCTCTCCATGGTAACGTAGCGCTCCCCGCCACTCCCCTCCGCGG